CCTACCCTCACCTATGGTCACGAACTCTGGGTCGTGACCGGAAGGACAAGGTCGCGGCTACAAGCGGCCGAAATGAGTTTCCTTCGTAGGGTGGCCGGGCTCAGCCTTAGAGATAGGGTAAGGAGCTCGGTCATCAGGAGGGAACTTGGAGTCGAGCCGCTACTCCTTCGCGTCGAAAGGAGTCAGCTGAGGTGGTTTGGGCATCTAATTAGGATGCCTCCTGGACGCCTCCCACTGGAGGTTTTCCAGGCACGTCCAACTGGGAAGAGACCCCGGGGAAGACCCAGAACACGCTGGAGAGATTACATCTCCCAGCTGGCCTGGGAACGCCTCGGGATCCCCCAGAATGGGCTGGAACATGTTGCCGGTGAGAGGGAGGTCTGGGTCGGCCTGCTTGGCCTGCTGCCACCGCGACCCGACCCCGGATAAGTGGTGGAAAATGGATGGATGGATGGATATACTGCATTTAATTGTCAAGCATCTTTGAAGAACGGGCCTCTTGGTCTGTGGTCCACTCAAAGTAACTTAAAAATGTGACATTTTCACATGACATTATCATGAACACTATACTGTGTTACTGATATCATTTTGAACCTTTTCAGAACATGACACAGCTGGCCATACTGTCTGAACTGTCCTCAAATATAAGGAGTTTGGTGTCCTGTACCCAACTATGAGCCTGCTGGCTTCCATTGCCCTAACGGTCCCGGAAACTGACTGATGTCTGTGTTCTTCATTCTTCATAAACTTTAATTTGACCCATATTTTACATTTGGTTCCAGTGAGATATTACTGACTAAATATAGTGAATTTGTTGTTTAGATATATTTGAAAAGTAAATTCTAATCCTGTTCTGAATTAATTTGTTTTTAAAATTCTATATATGTTTTTAAAAGCAATAATGTAGTCATGTAAAAGAGCAGAGTGTCGATAAGAGTAGCTCCTAGTTGTACTAAAATCCTAAAGATACCCATCTCTACTGGAAGGCCACTGTAGTTTTCAAATAAGGACAGGTGAGTGGAGGGGTATTTAGTTGGTTGCAATCAGCAACCTCACCACTAGGTGCCACTAAATCATACACACTATTACTTTAACAGCGTAGTGAAACAAGTTATTGTAATTAAATTAATTAAAAAGTAGTTATTATAGTTATTATAAAAAAGTTATTTAAAATAAATTGGGAAAGTGTAAAAGGGCATGGGACATTATGATGCAAGTACAGTATATAATGTACGTCGCCATGCTCTAGTATGTCTCATACGGTTTTTAAGCAATCTTTGGGTTGATACCATTTGTTACACAAATTTGGTGCTGAATTTGACATTTTACCAATCAAGAACTGATCAAAATTGATCAATATATTTTTTTACTGCATGCAAACAACTGTTATCATGAATTGAGGATGTCTGTAAAGTGGAGACTGGTCTGTGCCATGGAATCATTTTCCTCCAAATATCTTGAGGGGAGCAGTCAAGGGACCCCTCAGAAAATTACCTTTTATGTGCCTCTTCTGTGTTGATTTCACACTGACACTGACACTGGCATGTGGGCACGGTCAGTGTTACTATGGGAATGCAGTGTGTTCAGAGCATAGACTGGATAAATATGGACGTAGTCTTCGTGACATCACCAGGACGTTTCTGAAGAGCTGTTGTGAACCTTAAAGTGGATGTGTCTGGCCGTCGCCATCTTGGCAGTGAAGACACAGCCTAAATCTGAAAATGATTTGAGGTGGGTCTGGTTGACGCAGCAGAGCAGACAGCTAGCAGCTAGCACCCTGACACGACACCCACCTCTCATTCAAAGACGCCACGCCCTCAAGTAAGCCTTAATAAAATTGAAATGGGTGAGTTGTATAAAAATTCTCTCCCCGTACAGTTTTCATTAACGGCAATACCAGCTATAGAGTACAAAACTGTTTTTTGTACAAGCCTGTAAACATGTATATTTCTGTAAAGTTGTCCATTTTAACATGGTCTAATGCTGCGTTCACACCAAACGTGGCGCGAATTATTCGCGCGAGTAGATCACATACAAAGTCTATGCACAGACGCAATGAGACTGGCGCGGCCCGAATTTGCGATGGCGCGGCGCGATTGACGCGAATTATGCGGCGCGATTGACACGAATTCGCGTCAAATGCCAAATCACCCCAAACGCGTGAGTTGAAATTTTTCAACTTCGCCAAAATATTCACGTTACGCCCCGGCGCGATAGCCTATCAGCGTTGAGATGTTTCTCCTGTCATCACTGACTTCCTGCCGTTGTTGAATCAGGAAATAAATACTGTAGCCGTCTGTGTTCACCCAGAGCTCTACGATACCTCATATCAATAGAGACCAAACTATGTGTATAAATGTGTGTGTAAACCATATGGTACAAGCAATGAATAGACGCTGCCGTATTTACGTCTAGATGACGTTAGTCTGAGTGTTGGTGGAGCTGCTACAATGTTAGCTTAGCCTAGCACCGGTTCAACCGAGCTGCATTGAGAAGACAAGTAGCCTACAAATCGACATCATTACGTAGTTATTTCAGAGTCCCTTTTTGTCGGTTTATTGCCGTTAAATCACAGCCAAATCAGTTTATTTTGTGTTCATACAGCTGTAGTAAACTGCGACGTGTGGCTCACTAGACACAGTGAACACAGCTCGATAAAATCCACGGAGCTCCTCTGGACTATGTTATGAACCAGACATGATGGCGTTTAGTTTCCCAGGATATCTGTGACACAACACGTACTAAGCAGAAATAGGTTATTTTTTCCACGGTTAATGGCGGACAGTTGAACGGCTTTCAGGGCGATAAGCCACGCCCCCTCTCCGGCGCGATTCACGCGAATGAACACAAATAGTCCCCGGCGAGACCGGCGAATGACGCGAATAAGCGTTTGGTGTGAACACGGCATTAGGGAATTGACTGGCTTTTGAAGCCTCAAGTGGCCATTTGAAGAACTGCAGTTTTTGACACTTTGGTGTTGGCTTCATTTCTCAGCAGCAGAGGTTGCTGCTTGTTTCAGAGTAACGTCTTCTCAACTGTTGATTTTTAGTGATAGCTGTGCTGAAATAAAAGACACACTGCCGTGTAGTCAAAGATAGAAGGTGTTCATCTCTATTTCCCTGTAACTTCTACAGTATTATTGTGTACTTAAGGTCATACAAGAACACAGAAAGAACATAAAAGAAAACGTGCATGTATCTTTCAGGATCTTCACCTCGCTAAAAGGCCATCCTTACCATAATAACACTACTATAGGAGCAACGAAATTCAGACAGAGACTGGCATTATCACAGTTTTGCACGACACTATTCTGCCTCTGTAAGTCCTTTCTTATTTATTTTTTTTACCTATAATGGCCCTAATACGCCATCGTAATGTAGCCTGTTTTTAAAGAGGACAGTTGTCATTTTTACAGCGAAAGCTTTGTCGTTTCTCTAGTGAGGACAGTCTCAGGACATAAACAGCTGCTGTTGGACGTTACAGAATGATGAGAGGCCCCGCTGTCTCACTGAATACAGCAGAAAGAGGCCACTTCTCAGCTGGGACGGCATCGGTCACACAGCGAGAATGATTCTACAGGGCTCTCCATCACCGAGGCAAGAGATGAACTGGTGGCAAGTATTGAATTTACAGTGTAGGCTAAACAACATACGGCTGGAAATTAACTGACTGTATAGTACAGTAACTGTGGCATATATCACTTGAATCTTGTTTCACAGAAAATGTATAGCATATTCAATTTCCCATCAAAAAATCAACAATATAGGAGTAAACACAGCTGGAAATTGTTTGATAAAAGCTGCAGGTCAGCTTACTGCAGGGTCAGGTGGTGTCAGGTGAGTGATTCAGCATGTAGGAATGGATGTATAAATGTTGTGTGAATGGATGTATAAATGTTGTGTGAATGCATGTATAAATGTTGTGTGAATGCATGTATAAATGTTGTGTGAATGAATGTATAAATGTTGTGTGAATGGATGTATAAATGTGTGAATGGATGTATAAATGTGTGAATGGATGTATAAATGTTGTGTGAATGAATGTATAAATGTTGTGTGAATGGATGTATAAATGTGTGAATGGATGTATAAATGTTCTGTGAATGGATGTATAAATGTTCTGTGAATGGATGTATAAATGTTCTGTGAATGGATGTATAAATGTTCTGTGAATGGATGTATAAATGTTGTGTGAATGGATGTATACATGTTGTGTGAATGGATGTATAAATGTCGTGTGAATGGATGTATACA